CACACACACACACACACACACACACACACACACACACACACACACACACACACACACACGTGCCTTCACAAAAATGTCATTTCATATCATTTGATAAACTAAAATGTTCATCATCTCTGAGAACATGAAAAACGAGCTAACGGCCAAATGTTATTACATCACCTCCATCATGAACACACTCGTTACAGGACAGATGAGGCTGACTGTGTGTTTCACTCACATCGAACCGTCCGATGGATGCTGTCGTCTGATTGGTCTGCATCACCTCAGTCAGAGCCCACATCTGCTGGATGCTGGAGGATACGGTCTGTGGGTCAGGGAGGCCCTGAGGGACACACGGGGACACAATCATGCTCCTTCCTGGATCATAGTTAACATTTGAAGCTGAAGCTCTGAAGTAAATCAATTAACAGAAATCAGAACTCACATACTCAGTCACATGACCAAACAAAAAAAACCCGACCACACGAGCATCTGAGACGCCAAAAGCCCGTGTCATCAGGAAGTAAACGCACTCGCCGGCGTCTCTTTAACCTGCTGGTAATCAGACCGCCTCACAGCGCCACAAGCTGGCGTGCGTCACTGATGAGCACCAAATGCTCTGCTACGGACGTCGGTGATGCGAATTCAATTCAGTTTGATTTATATAACACCAAATCACAGCTACAGCGGCCTCAGTGTGCTTTATATTGTACAGTAGACCTACAATAACACAGACAGAGAAACCCCAACAATCATATGACCCCCTATGAGCAGCACTTTGGTGACAGTGGGAAGGAAAAACTCCCTTTGAACAGGAAGAAACCTCCGGCAGAACCAGGCTCAGGGAGGGGCGGGGCCATCTGTTAGGCGTGTTTCTGCTGGTTAAGCTGAAGCCGCCAGACTGCGCTGACAGAGGCGGTGATGTTATTTTCCACAGTCACACGAGCGTCTGGGCTTGGAGATGAGGCGAGGAGTGAGGCAGAGCTGGTTCAGCAATCAGATCAGTATCCTCTGCCTCTGCTTGAAGGAGGCCGAGGACACAGTTTCATATCTCATCTGGCCCGGGAGCTGGAAACCATCGCCATGGGAAAGGACGGCTTATCTGCAGCCACCGTGACCTGACTCTGGATCAGAAGGAGCAGCTGGACCTGCCGGTTTACTGCTGCCTCCACCGGTTAGTTTGTTTCTTCAACAGCAATAAAAAGCTCTGCTCCTGACTCGCAGTTAGAAACGTGTCACAGAGGTAACCTGTAAGTGAGCTTAGAGGCTATGAGAGCCTGAGGTCAGCCAGAACTCGTTGATCCTTCCTCCTGTTCCAGCTAAACTAAAGTCTCTGTTCAGCTGGATTTGCTTTTTGCCTTTTTAATAGTTTGTTTTTCCGGAGTCACAGACAAAAAGTAAGAAAAGCTTCTTTCATTAGGAAGCTTATCAAAAACAAATCAGAGCCCAGAGGAAGACGAGCTGCAGAATAATAAAACCCTCATTTTTGTTTCAGCCCTGAAGAAGCTGAAATTGAATTTAAGTATGAAAACTGAGAAATGAGCTAATAAAATATGCAGCAAACTCCCATCAGGCTCTCAAAGCTCGGCGCCCTCGTGTAGACAGAAACACAGTGCGTACCTCCAGATCGGGGTGCTGGTCAGTGAGGGTCAGGTCAGACAGCCAATCAGAAACCTCCTTCTCTGGGTCCTGGAACGAGGAAGAGCGTTTGTTAAACTCTGCAGTCGAGTTTCTGTTACTTTGTTGTTCAGTTGGATCTCTGCTTCAGTTCTCACTCTGGCTCCACCTGCTGGTGGTTCAACAGCAAACCCAACACCCCCCCACCACTGCGGTTTATTTCTGATTCTGACGTCAGTTCAATCCTCAGCACGTGGTCCATGCAATACAGTGCATGGCTTTTTCACCAGAATCACCACGGCAACTAACACATCACCTATGTTCAGGGTGCCGTTAAAATCAGCCGGATGCAATTATTTACAGCATGTTGGGTGGTTTTACCTGTGGAAGGTAAACCAGGTAAACTTTGCTAAACCCACAGAATGAAGCTCCAGCTCTGTGTGTTTAACCCGGGCTTTAGAAAACGTCTCAAAGTCGCTCTGCTTGATGCTGATCTGCTGCTGAGTCTCGTCACACTGCTGGAAACACGCAGCACACACCAAGAACACCTGATCAGCCAATCACATTCATTCACTGTGATCTGCACCTGTCCTTCCTGTGGGACCAGAAGCTTTAATGTTTAAATGGACCCAGTTTAAAGTGTCTCAGCTCTAATGTGCAGCCGTCACCTCAGAACCAAACAGCAGCACTGAGCGCGCTCAGAGACGAAATCATTCATTTACCGCTCTGTGCCAGAAATCACCAGATTAACCTGCATCTTCATCATTTGTCTGATGTACTGTTAGATTTTTATGTTCTTGATAGATTTTATCGCCATTTATCATCTAATAACGTCTCTGACCGGAGCAGCTGACACTCGCAGGGATCGTTTATTAGCTTGTGAGCACCCTCAGAGCCTGAGGAGGAGGCTACGTGTAGAAGCTGTGAGGTGTTCCAGTTCAAATCACGATAGAAGGGCTGGCACCACTGCTCCACCTTCTCACACATTTCCTTCACCCTTGTATGGTGTTCGGGTCTGTGAGACCCGTGTTCAGTTTTTTTCAAAAGAAAAATGAAACAATTAATTATTTTTTCACGTGTAAATGTGTTGTGTCTTTCCACTCACTCCACTTGATTATAACTGATTTATTTATAACATTTTATATAAAAGAAAAACGAGAAGCACATTAATTCATAAATGTGATCTAACAAAGGTAAAGGGAAAAAATTAACCATGTTTGCTGTTCATATGTCTTGTAATTGGGATGAAGTAAACATCTGTTGAGTAATTTAACATAAAATTGTTTGATAGTGTTAATTTGGAAAGCCAAAACTCTAGCGGGTCCACCAGACCCATGAACACTGGCTGAGTAACAAAAATACGAACACCACACAAGGGTTAAATGTGGTCCACTGACTGCTGCGAATCAGTGGAGTTCAAACTGGTTTAAACCTTCTGGGAGAGCCAGAAAAAGGCCCTGTGAGCGCAGCTGCTCAGCAGACACAGTGTAAACACAGAGAAGCATTTAGCAGCTAAAGAGTGCCAGGCGGGGTCAACAAAACATCCTCCACCTCAACTTCAAACATCGCCCATCTGCCCGTGCTGTGAGGAGTTACTGAAACTTTGACTCTCCTCCCTCTCCTGCACAGTCATGGTGTTGTGATGCTGGGTTGGACTGGAAGAAGCACTGACGTTTCCCTTCAAAGTGACAGCGTGCTGATGTTACCTGAGGGCCTGAGTTCATTATATGCTCTCTCACTGAGTCTGTGATTAATGTCACTTTACCTTCCTGCACTCCTGACTCCGCTGCACGTTAACGACAACATTAGACAAACTCACCGGCTCCGTGTGAGGAAATATTTGAATGTCTTCAAGGCTGAAGGTTAACCAGGCCAAGGACGGCTGCCTCAGGATCAGCCGCGCACACACCACGTGATCCGGCTCCACCTGCATCTGAGGCACGAACGACAGCAGAGGAAAACCGGCTCATCAGAATACATGATCCACCCATCCATCCACCCACCCAAGGGTGTGGCCGCCTCCCATCCGTGGCCACTGGTATAACACAAAATACAAAAACATGGACCAAAGTTGTTGAAGAACCAGAAGCTGCTGTGATTCTGATCAGAACGTTTTCGCCAACATTTCTTCAAATCATTCGAGTCCTTTGAGTCCCGACGAGGTGCAAAAATCAGTGCAGCAACAGAACACAATGAATCTCCCTCAAGGCTAAATGTGACGAACACTAAACCCATAAGAAGTGACTGAACATAATTTATGCTATCACAGTTACCGTTTAAACTCATCAGCCTCGCAGTGCCGACTGAAGTAAACAAAAATGAAATCTCCATTCACCACCTGGCTCTATTTGCATGGAGAATAAACAGAGGAAATGAAGAATAAGTCACTGTGTGTTGTCTCCAAACTTACAAACTTATTGTGAGTTTCTCAGGGAGCCGGCTGGCTCGACGCCACCGCAGCTGAGAGGGCAAACAAACTGGAGCCGGCTGTGGTGGTTTTTATGCCCAGCGGGATGCATCGATCTACAGATCTGACGATTGCGGTTAATCCTCCTGTCATTAGCAGAGGCACAGCAGCTCGGTCTGGCAGCACAACAGGCGGCACGGTTTTCTCAACTTCTGCCATCAGAAGCGAGGAGGCAGAGCGGCTAACGAGACGCTGCTCTGCGGCCCGTTTCCTCTCGTTTCTTTACAGAGCTGCTCCCAAACTTTGACCTGCAGGGCCTTTCTAAACCTCTGGTGGGTTGTCACACTGCTTTGTGTAGGGCCACTACCTGTAATACTGCAGGTAACACCTGATCACACCTGGCGTGATTAGTTGGAGAAACATTTTTGCCCCTTTGGTCTCAAACACATCTGGTATAATTCAGACATGTGATATCAGCTTCTCATATATTTTGACTTCCTGTCCTGCAGCTGGCTGAAAGCTTCATTTCTGCTGGCTGAGTCATCACTGTCACTGATCTTTATATCAAAGGGTCAGCGTTAGTGTTTTGGCTAATGCCAAGCTGGTTTCTGGTACTAGATGAGACCATGTTTAGATGAGAGGGTAATATGTAGAGCAGGGCTGCCCAATCCCAGTCCTCGAGAGCTACTATCCTGCAGCTTTTAGATGCATCCCTACTCCAACACAGCTGAATCAAATGGTTTGATTACCTCTTCAGCATGCCATCATGTTTGGCAAAGGCCTGATAACAAGCCATTCATTTGATTGTGTGGGAACAAGGATGCATCTAAAAGCTGCAGGACGGTAGCTCTCGAGGACCGGGATTGGGCACCCCTGATGTAGAGTCTAGGGAGACCGACTCTCGGCTGGAGCCTCTGCTGGACGGTAGAGGAACTGCAGGTTCAGTGATGATGTTTTTCCTGATGTGAGTTTTGTTATGAGCTGAGAATTGTCTTACGTCTAAAACTGTGGAGGACAACGATACATTTTAAACACACACCGTTATCATGTTTACATCCAGGGAGATGTTTGTTGCACAGACAGCAGCAGAACCAGTCAGTCACGTCCATGTTTCAGAGCTGCTGTGGAGTAAGAAACCATCCTTTGTCACTAAGAGCCTGACGCTGTTCATCACACTTCCTCACAACAACAGTATCTGAACCCAAACAACCATATTTTTCTAACCCTGAACAGAGTGTGGAAGGTAGAGTAAAAAATCCTGCAGGAAAACGAAACAAGCGCATAGACAGAGATCAATATGAGCTGTGAGCCTCCAGCCTCCTGCACTGCAGAATTTCAGCTGGCTGAAAACAGACCTCAGCAGCAGATGTCTCCATTTCTCCTGGTGTCATAAGTGCAGCAGTTTCTTTTAACTAATGGAGGTCATTCCTTAATTATTTAACAATGACCTTGGGATGAGTTTAAAAAAAGGTCTGATATAAAAGAAACTACTTTTGATGTCAAGGTTCCTCCTCAGCACGCCTGCAGCGTTAAAGGTCATCACAACAGGTGTGGCTCTTTGATGCACCGACAGCGTGAGGACAAGTTACTCTGTTGTCAGTCATCATGTCCAAACTAAGCAAACACTGTCTAAAAACGAATGCAACATTATAAAAAACGAAAAACAAGTTGAATGAAAAATAGCACGTGACCTGTAGCGTTCCCTCACAGTCTCTTATACGACCTGCTGGGAAGGTTTGACTGAGAGATCAGATCAGTAGGAAACAACCGGTTTATGCATTTTAAGATAAAAAAGAAATGCCTTTTAAATTGTTTATGATGACATGATGTCAGAATGATTTCCAAGCTACATTCAGATTTGAAATGAGTAACGTTTGAACTCAGAGGAAACGACGTGTTTCTGTACAACAAACTTATCAGATGCTAAACAGGAAACACTGATCATCAAGTGTTGTGAAAAGTTCAGGTTTTAATCTTCAGCAGTTTTGCGTTTCTGCAGTCGAATATTTTTATGGCTGCTTTGTCGTTAAACCGTAGCAGTGACTGAAAAGCCAGATTTAAGGTGAGAAGAGGTGAAGCCCACCTGCGTCCGGTGAATGGTGTAGTAGTCCTGGGAGCCCCCCTCAGTGTGGGGGTTGTCCATCAGGGGCAGGTCTCTCACGGCCGTGCACCACTTGGCGGGGGCCTCCTGCTCGGGGTTCCTCCTCAGCAGGCGCACCGTCACGTAGGCTGTGTAGTAGTTCTTAAAGGTGACCTCCTCGATCTGGAAGAAACGCAGTGATGCAGGAGAAACATCAGCTCCCAGCACAGCTCGCATATTTTAGATATTTAATTTCTATTTAAAAAAGACTGAAAACCAGAACTAATGACAGCAGATGTGTTGGATTCAGCACAAATATCAGAAAAAATCTGCAGAAATTTGACCTCCTCAGGCCTCGAGATCACTTTAATGGGAAATATTATTTAATAAGGGCTTCCTTTTAATCTGTGAGTGTATATATGTAAAAACCTTCCACACAGAGAGACGCTAAACTCCAGAAGCGCTCATAATTAAATACTCTCAACTTTTCCCTTCAGCCTCCGCGGCTCGCCTCAGCTTGTCCTTCAGGTCTTCTAGTCACACTCACGAGAACAAAAGCTTTGGATGTTAGCTTTATCTGATGTTATAATCTGATTAAAAGAAACATTAAATTGTGACTTGATTTGTATTTTGCATTTCTGACTGGAACACAGGGCTGCTGACAGGAATAAAAGAAAGTTCCTTGGTGATGTGCTGGATGAAGTGAAACTTCATTAAACCACGCTGGGCCTGGAAGGGAAATGCCTCCCGTCCATTCTGGGTCTTAACCTATTATCTAAGAAACGCTGTATCTGCCAAATCTCTGCATTAAGGCCTAAACGGAGCGCACAGCTCGCTGCTGAAAACTCCTTTGTGCATTAGTGGCTCCAGGCAGACGCCTTTGAAGCTCGCAGCTTTGAGCTAATGAGGAGTCACTCTGCATTAAAGACGACTTTAAATTAGGACTAAATGCTGAAAAGTGGGTCAGCACCCAAAATGTTTGAAGTCGCTCCCAAGACAGGAGCACAGCTTTCTATTTAAACAAATGCTGTGAGTGCGTGCGCTGCCGCTGAGAGGCCCAGATGGAGGGATGTTCTGCTGCTTTCAGGTTTTTAACTTTGCTCTGGGGGCAAAAGACAACAAACAGAACTTTAGTGACGTCTTTCTCCAGCAGCAGAAAATTCACTTCCAATAACGAACACAAACAAAGTCAGGCTGCACGCAATAATTACTATTACTGAATATCTTATTGTGAAATCGTGTCATTATTTTGTCTAAGACATGTGAACAAACAGTAAAAAGCATCTAAGAGTGTCTGGATGCATGTTCAGTAATGCAGGTGATGTGAGAAAGTCGATTGTGTCGGCCTGGACGCAGCGTTTTCTCAGGCCTTATAAACCGTACAGCTGCGTAACAGCCGACACCAACACCACTGACTAACAGTGAGGCGAGATCTGCTTCATGACTGTTAATGTGCAAAACTGCAAATCACTCAACTGAGATTGATGGGGGACATTTTACAGTCAACGTGAACAATAAACAGCCACGGATCAGTATTTAAGCTGTGACTCTCATCATCCACTGGAGCACCAACGGAGAGAAAGACAACTGCTGCCTAAGCAAAAGCCCTTTAACAGGCATAACTTACAAAATAAAAGCCTTCTGTTGTGTGTTTTCATTATTTTTATAGATTAATTATTAGCTTCTCTGTCTGCAGCTTTTCTTTTACCTACAAAAACATCCTTCAGCTCCACTGTGTGTCAGCGCATCAACATCCTTCTTGTTCTGGCTGTTGATTGGTTCTTTGATTGGAGCCGGAGACAGACACCTACTATTATGATCATCATAACTCAATTCAATTTTATTTATATAGCGCCAAATCACAACAAAAGTCGCCTCAAGGCGCTTCATAGATACAGAGAAAAACCCAACAATCATATGAGCAGTACTTTGGCGACAGTGGGAAGGAAAAACTCCCTTTTAACAGGAAGAAACCTCCGGCAGAACCAGGCTCAGGGAGGGGCGGGGCCATCT